TCATTTATTGGTGACAAAATTATTTCTTCACCAAAGATAAAAATATTGGCCAGAAAAATAGTTTTGTCACTAAATGATATTAAAATATTAAAAATTATTGGTGACAAAAATATATTTGTCATTAATAATTTTATAATTGGTGACCAATTTTTTCGTCACCAAAAGTCTCAAAATTTTGGCACCCTCCGAAAATATTAGCGGGAAAATATTTGGTGACAAAAAAAATATAAATAATGACGAAAAATAATTTCGTCACCTAATTTTTTTATTATGATTTAGATTGGTGACGAAATTTTATTTTTGTCTCCAAAAATGGAACATTTGGAGACGAAATATGATTTTCGTTATTAAAAGATACATATTTCGTGACAAAAAATTTTTTCGTAATTAGTTTTCGTAATTTTCGTATTAAAAGATACGTATTAAAAGATACGTATTTTCGTTATTAAAAGATATGATTTTCGTAATTAGTTTTTTAACCAAGAATCTGCAGAACAAGTCTAGTATAAATAGACCCGAACAGGTACAAAAAAGAAGTGAACATGTGCAATTCGAAATTGAACAGATGCTGTTTGAAAATCAAACAGATCTGGCAGTTACAATAGATAACTGCACAGCAGTTATATCTGTTCTGGACAGTTTGAATCTGTTTGGGTGCAACAGATTTTAAGACCTGTTTGGACTGATTAATCTGTTCAGAAATAATGGACTGGAAGAGGAAATATAAGGACAGAAAAAATAAATTCAAATTTGAACTTATTTTGGTTCAGAAAATAAAATTTTCCCGCAAGAATTTTGGAAAAAATTCAAATGAATTTTGTCCAAAAAATTAATATTAGAACTGACCCAACCCGCGCCCGGCACGGCTTGGCCTGACGGATGGCGGCGGCGACGCGTGCGCACGTGTGTGGTGGTTTGGGCTAAGGTTCACTTTGTCCATAACTCCTTCCTTCTACAAACTTGGGGTGCCCCTTGGGGCCCAACCCAAGTGTTGTAGGCTGGAGCTTATATACTTAACAAAACTCTCTTAAAGTTTCAATGTGGCACAAGCCTCACAAGGAAACCCACTTTAAAACTTTAAATGTCTATTCCACAAACCCGAAAACGATGTCATGTTCCCATTCACTCATAAATGGTTTTGACGAACCATTTTCACCGTGTGACTTGCCACGCGGCAAGGAACACTTCACCTCTTCGAACCCACCCCAAAAGACGTTCGGGGCCCACTCAATTTTGGGCTCAAAGTTTGCCCAAAATATGCCTATATAAACCAATTTTTCCAACAGTTTCTATGAGAGGGGGCATATGTCATAGGCTTCTTTCCAATTCTCTCCTCAAACAATTCCCTAAAGGTGTTGGCTCGTGGGAATGACGGGGGCCTCACAACATTAACCCCTAAATAGAACTGCATATCAATGTTATTTTGTTTTTGATGTAAAATCCTTTGATTCCTAGATCGAGGCTCATATTGGTAGCGTAAGCGATATTGCTTTTGCTAGTATTAGTGAGCAAATTTCGATCGTTATCGGTGGTGATGACAAAACTATTAAGGTGAGTTTGGAGTCTTAAATAGTTGTATTGTTTCCCATCTTAAGCAATGTAAATTAATTATCTTGCATTTTTTTTTAATTGTTTTTGAATGATATATTCATATATATAACAATTGGCATATTGTGTCATATTCGTGTCGTGTCCATACTTCTTAGATTAACTGTATCTATAATTGTAGGTGTGGGATGTGGTTACTGGTGCCAACTTGTTTACTTTCAAAGGGCATGAGACTCCTGTATTTTGTGTTTGCCCTCATGTTAGGGGAAATTTTCATGTAAGGATCACAAATTCAAATCTTCTTTCTCTGATTGTTCCATGTGTACTTCTTGCTTTCATGGCTTATGTTATTTATTTTCTATATATATATTGAATATTATGTTTGTGCTTCCTATTTCTAGTTTATTTTTTCAACCTCGACTGATGGAAAGATAAAAGTATGATCATATGATATGTCTGGACCGTTGGTTCATTATGATGCACCAGGTGGAGTAGGGTCCACAACAATACTTTATAGTACCGATGGCAAAAGGTAGATCTTTTGAACCTACTTTACCACATGATTTTGTATCTATTCATATATATAGAGGACAAATTGAAACACTAACATTGCCATTGAACATGTTGTAGGATTTTTTCACGTGATAATAACCAATATGGGGAGACCTATCTTGTTGAATGGGTAGAATAGAGAAGTATTGAGCAGATAAACTACAAAGGATTGCAAAAACATTCTTTGGGTATTGTGCAGCTTGATATAACCAAAGACCACTTTTTGGCTGCCGGTGATGACTATGTTATCAAATTTTGGGAAATGGATAGCGAGGATCTCTTGGCAACTTCTGATGCCAGGGGAGATTTACCTTTAAGTGGTTTTGTAATTGTGCTAAAATTAAATTTTATTGTTTACAAATGGGCATTTGTGTTTCTATATTATATCATATATTGTACATGCAACAATTGTAGTCCAATTCACATTTATTTTTCTATTTTTTTATTTTATTTTTAATTTCTCAAATCATAAGGAAACTCCGTACATATGCTTCAACAAGGAGGGCACATTACTGGCTGCATCTGCGAGGAACAAAAGAATTAAAATCTTAGGAACCCTTAATGGAATTCAGTCATTACAAGCTCATGAAATGCCTGTATCCATTATTGCAACTAAGGTCAGTTCGTTAAATCATTTCATGGGGCTCTAAACAAAATTTATTGTCAAAATTGAAAATGTAGATATATAAATATATATTTATATTGTGCATGTAATGTTTCTCCATTTGGTATATTTCCATATTAAATGTGTTCTTTCTCCATTTATTTTACATGTATTTCATATCTTTACAAGTGTGTTTGATATCACTATAGACATCCCATTTTTAACCGCCCTTAAGACTTGGGCGCCACAAATTGATCACCCAATGATGAATTTATACGTTGGACAAATGTTCGATTTCCTCGGCAGGAAGCCTCGATTTTGAGTCTCAGAAGCCTAAAAATCTTACACCACTTTTGGACCAAAACAGTATTTTTCCAAGCCTGACCACTCAGAGGCCTACATATAGTGATCCCGATTTTGACCCGACCTTTATTATATTTCAGACACGGGTTTTGCGGTTTAATATTGTTATCCATGTCTTGTTTTTCCCTCATTTGTCTTTGAGTTTGAGTTTTAGAATGTGTTGGGCGTGTTTGGAATAGGTTGGTTGTTAGTTGGTTTAGCTTGATGTTGCCTAGATTTTGGCTTCTTCGCTCGAGCAAAGCTTCTTGCACTCGAGTGAGCTTTGTGATCTCCCAGCATTTGTTCAGTCTTGCAGAGTTTCTGGGAGGGTGTTGATGTTCGCTCGAGCGAGGACTTTTGCGCTCGAGCGACGGTCTTCTATCTACAAAATTTCTGGGACTTTGTATTCTGTGCTCGGGTGACGCTTCTTGCGCTCGAACGAGAACACTTATTGTATCTGGTCGCTCGAGTAACAACTCCTTCGCTCAAGCAAGCATCGCGTATATCAGTTCGCAGCAGCTCATTTTTATATCACTTTTTGTTATCTTTTCACTCAAAAACCCTAAATCGGCTCCTTTTCTCTCTAAAATACTCTCTCTCTCTCTCTCTACAAATACACCTAGATCTAAGGATCCCATTACCCTACTCCCTTTGATAAAAAGGTGGAGCATCTCGTGGGCTTTCATTTGATTCGAATAAAGTTGAGTTTGGGCATCCTTGAGGTTTCTCCACTTCTCCTTTGGGCTTCTACACTTAAGGTAGAGATGTTCTACACCTTGATATGATCTTTAACCTAACTATTTGTTGTTATGTTTAAATGGCGAGATTTGGGAGTAATTTGGGTAAACTTAGGGTTTGGATTCAAATTGAAAAGAGGGGTTTCCATGTTGGGTTACATAAATGAATATGGGGTTTTGAATATGAAGTTCTCTTGTGTTAGAATGGTGGAATTTTGCCTTCGGATTGATAATTGAAAAGGGGGGAAATTTGCCCTAATGTGTGTTAAATAATTATTTTGTATGAATGATGGACTTGGTATGAGAAATGTGAAATTGGGAGGATGTATGAATGAATGGTGTAATTGGATTTGTTAAATCACTCACCTATGAAAATTTGAAGAATTATATGTTATAAAGATTGTATATCTATTTAACAATAACTGTATTGGGCTATCGGTGGAGGATAGCCATGATTGTTGTAGAAATTGCATGAAGATTAGGAGAATTGAAACTAATTTCTCATCCATGTACATTGAACATTGTTGCTCATTTAATACATTGCAAATGTATATGATTTTGAGAAAAAATGGGTGAAAGTGGGAAAGATGTGTGTATCACCAAATTAAGTTGGCCTGTGTGTTTAGGGTGAAAGTCTTGAAAAACGTGCGTATACATGGGTGCCGGTTCCCGTGGACAAAATATTCATAAAATGGCAATAGTAGTGCTTGTATAGACTACGTTTACATGGGTGTCATTTGATGGTTTCCCGCGGACGAAATATCCATGAAAGGTTGCACTAGTTTAAAGTGTTCCCCCTTGTCTTCTATTGTAAAGAGCATGGCATTGTTTCTGGACAGAAGATGTAAAACGTTTTGATATGGACATTGCATATACATAAAACCTTATATCTTTGTTAATATTCATATGTTGTGTTGGATTGTTTCTACTAGGCTTTGGCTCACCCTATATGGGAAAACCATTTTTAGGTGTTGCTGAGATACCTCTGCCAATGCAGTAGCTTGGGAGGATTGGAGCAAAAGCTTTATTTTATTTATTTGTTATTATTTTGTATAAGCCGAGGGCTTTATATGTATTGGATTTAAATCCATTTTGATGTAACCAAGTATAATCTTGGAAAGTTGTAGCCTTTAGGGTATTTCAATTATTTGTTTAACTTTTATTTCATACATTTGTTGTTGACACATGCTATATATTCAAGGTTATGACTTATGAATGTATATTCGCATGTGTCACCATTTTGTACAACTAAATCTTATGTAATGGAAGGATCTTGTACTCTATTTTATATTGTTATTTACTTATTATCATGGATGGTTTATTGTATTTGTTTCAGGGCGTTACAGAGATTAGGCCCAAGAAAAACACAAAAGCCTAAGGTAGACCTTCTATCCAAATAGTCCTCAGCCCAGTTAGAATTAGAATAGGCATGAAGAAATATGAGGAACATGGAGCATATCATTGAGATGAGAAAAACATTGAGGTGTAGGCAAATGACCCTTACCAATATGATGAATAGGTAAGGATTGACCACTGCCTACTGTAACCTGATCTGTGCCTTGATAAGGTTGGTACAAATTTAGATTGCTCAAGTCATTAGTGATATGATTTGTAGCAGCCGAATCAATGTACCAAGGTGTGGAGGGGACAAAAGAAGAAACAGTGTGATTTGTTAGGGCAACATATGCTCAAACAAATGGTATGGAAGCAGGAGAGGAGGACGTGTGATGAGATTGATAGCTTGGATCCATTCTATACCAGTAGTTAAGGGCACCATGACCAAGACCACCACATATATGACAACTTGAACCAGTAGAATAGAAACCTCCAGTTCTTTCTCTGATATTGCGATTTGATTGACCACCAAGAAATGGACTTTGATGCAAATGGGCCTCGATTATGAGAAAATTGTGAATATGAAGAGGAGCCAGACTCCGATGTCTTGGCTGCAGCATAGGCAACAGTTGTATCATGGCCAAATGCTTGTTTGGCCTTGTTCTCCATATGAATAACTTCGAAGCACAGTAGGGCACACAAATCTTCCATTGTAATTGCTTCAGCTCTAGCACGAATAGTTGTTTTGAAGGCATCATATTCCTCAGGTAGACTATTCAAAGTAAGTAGAACCAAATCTTCATCAACAATATTCGAAGAGGCAAGACTTAACTAGTTTGAAATATCTCTGATTTGATGAAGATACTCTTCCATTGTGAATCCTTTCTTTGTAAGATTCTGAAGTTTGTGTTTGAGTTGATGAATGTGTGAGCGAGAAAGAGAAGTGTATCTCTTTTCAATTACAGACCAAACTTCAAAACAATGTCTGAGATGAAGAACTAAAGAAAAGACAGATGAAGAAAGTGTTGCAATAATGAAACTTAGCAAATGAGCATTTATGATGTGCCATTTTCCAAATTCTGGATTTTGAACTATTTTCCTGTTGAATCAAGAATATATGGTGATGGACATGGAATAGATCTAGTGACAAAGCTGAGAAAATCAGTAGCTTAAAGAACATTTTGCATCTGATTCTTCCATATGAGAAAGTTTGTGGAGTCAAGCTTTACTGTTGCCAAGGAATTGAAATTTGAGATTAAAAGTTTAAGATTTGATGGTAAAGAAAGAGATGAAGATGAAGATGATGAATCTGCCATTGTTTGCCTGTGAGAGCTTAGGTAAAACTAATGATACACCATATTTAATTATTTTCTCTCCATATTGTCTTGTTATGATTTGTAAACAGTAAAATATGATATGTAAATATTAATTTATTAAAATTTGTTAAAATTTACTAATTCTTTAAAATAGTCATTATTGTATAAAATTAATTTTTGATATAATATTGAAAATAAATAAAAAAGAAAACAAATTATAAAAAAATTGTTCTTAAATGGTAAGTTATTATTTATAAATTATGTATAATTTTTTATTTTTTAAAAAATAAATTTTAAATCCATATTTTTTTATTAATTATGAATCAAATCTTTTTTTTTGGGAGGGGGGTGGGGAAGGGGTACTTCGGAAAGGAACTGTGAATCAAATCTGACAGAGTAGTAAGTGGAATATCATTGAATAGTAAGTTATGTTCGATTAAATAGTGAGTCAAATTTGATAGAGTAGTAAGTGGATATTTTAATTTACTTATAATAAATAAATTGTGGCAATAATTACCAATTATTATGACAATACTTATGACTCATTAAGATAATAGTTATCATTCATAAACACAATATTTACCAGCCATTGGACTCTACTTATTACTCACTAGTAAGTTGGGTTTCATTGACTAGTAAGTAAGGTTTAATTGATAGAATAATAAGTTGAATCAAATTGAATAATAAATAGACTAGTACTAACTAGTTAGTGAAATTTCATTGATTAATAAGTCATATTTGATTGAATAGTGTAAGTCAAGTCAAGTCAAATCTAATGATAAGTAAACATTTTAATTTACTTACAATCAATTGTAATAGTATTTATCACTTATTATGATTATACTTATCACTCTTAAATATAATACTTATTATTTGTTTTAATTCTAATTATTGATTAATGATTGTCAGTAGTGAGATGTTTGATTAAGTAATAAATCAAGTCATATTATTCATTTTAATTCTACTTACCACTCAATGGTTGTCAGTAGCCAAATGTTTGTTTAAGTAATAAGTAAAAGCTAATAGAATTATAGGTGAAGTCTCATTGAGTAATAAATGGAATTTAATTAAATAGTATGTTAAGTCTAGTGAAGTCATAAGTGATCTCCTTAAGTAGTAATGTAGTTTAACCGAGTAGTTAGTCAAATTTAATGAAATAGTAAGTAAAATCTCATTCAATAATAAATGAGATCATATTATGACACTCTCTAAAGTTGGTTAAATTTCTAAACTTGTTTATCACTCGTTATGAATCATCTTACCATTTGTTTTGAAACGACTTATCACTTAGTATGACACTCTCTAAATGAGATTTTATTTAATAGTAAGTCAAGTTTGATGAAGTAGAAAGTCGAGTATCAAACATTTGATTGAGTAGTGATCTAATGGAGTAGTAAGTAGAGTTAATGGAGTATCATTGAGTGGTAAGCGTTTGATGGATTAGTAATTAAGTGGAGACTCATTGAGTGTTAAATGAAGTTTCATTAAGTAATATGCTGAGTCTAATAAAATAGTAAGTGGAGTTTCATTGAGTGGTAAATAAAGTTTCTTCGATTAATAAGTCGAGTGTAATAAAGTAGTAAGTGGAGTCTCATTAAATAGTAAGTGAAATTTCATTGAAGAATAGGTCGAGTCTGATGGAGTAGTAAGTGTGGTTTAATATGAGGAGTAAGTCAAGTTTAATAGGATAGTAAATCGAGTATCATTGAGTATGATAGATCAAATCTAATAAAATGGTGTCTTATTGAGTAAGTCATGTTTGATTGAGTAATGAGTGAATTTAATTGAGTAGTAAGTAAATTAAGTTAAGTGTCAAGTAGTAAGTAAGGTTTAATTGAACAATAGGTCAAGTCTTATTGAGTAATAAATAGAGTTTAATTGAGTAGTAAACAAAGTCTAATAAAATAGTAAGTAGAATTTCATTGAATAGTAAGTGAGATTTAATTAAGTAGTAAGTCAAATCCAATCAAGTAGTATCTTATTGAGTAGTAAGCCATATTTAATTTAGTAGTAAGTGAAAATTGATTAAATAGTAAATGGAGTCTGTCATTGAATAGTAAGTGGGATTAAGTGGGATTTAAATGAGTAGGAAGTCAAGTCCAATTGAGTGGTATTTTTTTAAGTAGTAGTGAAGTAGAGTTTGATTGTATAGTAAGTGGAGTCTCCACTACAAGAAAAGCATTTTTGGCGACTAAATTTTTAGTCGCCAAAAGTCCGTTTTTAGTCGCCGAAAGTCGAGTTTTTACTTTCAGCGACTAATTTTTTTAGTCGGCAAAAAATAGCTCTTTAGCGACCAACTTTTTAGTCGCCAATAGTGATTTACACTTTTTAAATTCACACATTTGGCGACTAATCTTTTAGTCGTCAATAGTCCATGAATCGCCGACTAAACAGTTTAGTCGCCCAAAATAAACACTTTTGGCGACTAAAATTTCCGTCGCCAAAGGTCCTTCCGTGAAAAAAAAAAAAAAAACAATTTCTTTGCTTTTTTTGAGATTCAAACCACCAACCTCTCCCACATTCGAACCGCCAACACCTTTAGCAACACACTCCCTCCACTATGCCACTTCAACATCACATGAATATATATGCAATATATATTATTTATATAGTATATTGACCGGTATTAATACAAAACTATATATATAAATATAATTATTTTTATTCAATATAATTTATGTAAAAAATAAATTATTTATTAAAAAAAAATTTAGGCCACTTTTGGCGACTAAATCCATTATTTAGTTGCCAATTCTATTATTTTGGGCTACTAATTAATTTTTTGTCGCTAAAAAAATAAGTTCAAATTAAAAATAAGCAGTTTTGGTGACTAAATCTGTTTTTAGTCGCCAAAAACGTCCCCTTTTGGCTACTAAACTGAATTTTAGTCGCCAATTGATTGTTTTTAGCTACTAATTTTTTTTTTGTAGCCAAAAAGCTTCATTTCAGCGACCAATATGTTTTTAGTCGGCAAAACACCTACAATCAGCGACGAAAATGTTTTTTAGTCACCAAAACCATAACTTTTGGCTACTAAATTATTTTAGTCGCCAAAAACCGTCACTTTTGGCTACTAAACAACCTTTAGTCGCTAAAATCCCTACATTCGGCGACTAAACTGCCTTTTAGTCGGTAAAACTCCTGTATTCTGCGACTAAACTCTTTTAGTCGGCAAAAGTGTTCAATTTTGGCGACTAATTCCATTTTAGTCGCCAATTCTACTACTTTCAGCGACGAAAAATGAAGTTTTAGTCACCAAAAACGCTTTTTCTTATAGTGAGATCAATTAGATTTTTTCTTAAATTATATTACCAGAATAAGAGCAATATTCATTCTTTAATTTATACATCTTTTATTAAATTATAAAATAAAATTTTAAATTTAAATTCTTTTTTAAATTATGTTATTACAATTAGAATGAGATCAATATTCACGTATGTCATAATGATGTGTCATAATATTATTGGTCTAAACATAATGTGTTATTAAATACACCTATTCAAATTATTAATCACTATTAAAGTTTATATTTTTATTTTTTGTCATTTTTTGTTTTAAATTTTATAAAAAAAAATTTGCGTCCATCTAAACTACAACGACTTAAACAATAAATTTTTTAATATAAATATTTTTTTTAACAAAATACAAAAGCATTAAGAAAATTATTGACTTTTTAACGATTGCCAAATATAATGGATTCTTTTTTTTTTTATCTCAATTATCAACTAAACAAATTGAAATATATATTAAAAAAATGGTTTAAATAGTTAAAAAGTGACTTTTGCTAAAATCAAATAGCAATAAATATTTTTTTTTAATTAAAAGTGATAAGTGAAACTTATTTTTTTTATATAATAAAAAAAGAAAATGAGAGTTACATTTAATAATTTATTGTTCCAGTAATGTTACAAACTCACACTTTCACCCATAATGATGTGACAAAAAAGTTGGGTCCCGTGTCATTGAGTGTATAGTAAATCAAGAGTTGACACATATTATACCACATCATTGTGGATATAATTATGGATGTTTTTTTGTGAATCTCAAACATTTTTTTTTATTATTCATCTAAACGTTTTTAAAACTTGCGAAATATGATGGATCTTGTTAATTTTTTTTTTTTAAATCTTAGTTGTCAATTAAACAAACTAAAATAAAAAATGAATTTTTTTTAGCTCAAATTGCTAAAAAGTGAATTTTGCTGAAACAAATAAAAATAAATGTTATTTTTCTAATAAAAGTGATGGTTTGTGAAATATTTTTTTTATTTAAAAAAATAGGGTTATATGTGATAATTCATGAGTCATCTATAATTATTTTCAAATCAAATGAGAATATCATTCTAAATTTTCTTCTTACCCTTTTTTTTTATACATATACTTTTATTTTGTAGAAATTTAATTTTATTATATTTAAATATTTTAGAAGCATTTACACACAAGTCCCAATTTACAAACTTATGCTCCATTAAGTCCTAACTAAGATTTTTTGAACCTTCAATTCCCAATTTTTAGTAGTCAGAATCATTTTTCAAATAATGAGTATTCATCATTTATGATTATCTATAGAGGAACATGATGATTTGACATTTATTTTGATTTTCAAAATTTTAAAATATCAACTTTCAAATTGAAAAAACTAAAAACAAATTATGTGCCAAAAAAAAAACTAATCAGTGTGTTTGGTTTTAGTTTTCTGAAAATTGAGTTTTTTATTTTTTGTATTTTTTGTATTTTTAGTGAATATTTTTAAAATTTTAAACAATTTTTTTTATTTTTTAAATGTACCTTACTTAGATGTATCTAAATAGTAAAAATTTTGTGAAAAAAATATTTTAAAAAATTAATAAATACATAAAAATATGAAAAATATATTGCATTTTTTTTTTTATATTTTTGGTATTTAGTGATTTTTTAAAAGATTTTTTTCACAAATATTATACTTTTTTAAGTATATTTTTCTGAAAAGTATTTCATGAAAACCAAAACCAAGCAAAGTGTTTTTGAAAAAATT